TCACGGGCTGGTCACCGTGAAAGACAACGACATCTTCTACCGACCAGCGCCCAGGTCATCAACGGGGTACCGGGTGACGGACAATGGGATGCCCGGGACGATATACAACAAGGTACCTGATTGGTTGCATGAAGGTAAGTTATAAGGAAGTAAGGAAAGGTCTAGAAAATGCTCAGCGGCAAGAGGGCTTCCTACCAGGGAAGCAGCAGTTGCATGCATTTGGGCCAAATTCATGTCCTATGGTAGCGCTTGAGGATAGCATTAGTTGGGCTGTAGGCGTCTCACAGTTGTGGTCCCAAGGGTCACGGGCTGGTCACCGTGAAAGACAACGACATCTTCTACCGACCAGCGCCCAGGTCTTCAACGGGGTACCGGGTGACGGACAATGGGGTACCTGGGACGATATACAACGGAGTGCCTGATTGGTTGTATGAAGGTAAGTTGTAAGGGTTCATCGGGTCGTTGAACGACTCGGTGTCCCACACGAAAAGAGAGAGAGAGTTGTAAGGAAAGGTTCAGAAATCGCTCAGCGGCGACGGCTTCCTACCAGGGAAGCAGCAGTTGCGTGCAGTTGAACGAAACTCATGTCCTATGGTAGCGCTTGAGGATAGCATAGCGAGCTGTACAGTTGTAATCCCCAAGGGTCACGGGCTAGTCACCGTGAAGGACAACGACATCTTCTACCGCCCAGCACCCAGGTCCTCAACGGGGTACCGGGTGACAACTAGGGTTTCTGCCCGGGAATTCTCGAGGCGAGAATTCCCGGGAACTTTCTAATCTTCGTTCCCGGGAAATTAGTGTCGAGAAAAATCGAGAATTTGAGATATCATTACAAGGCATCAACTTTTTAAATGAGATACTTTTGCTGACCTCACTACTATTTACTGGACTATTTGCCGTTAGGCCTATAAACAAGCAGCGCTGTCCTTTGATAGCAGTGCGGCACAGCAGTCCACTGGTGGACGTAGTCCTTCTCCAGGGTACGCCACAAGGTACGATCTTCCGTTTTTGCCTTCCATTCGATCTCTTTGGTCCATTTGGCCGGAGGACGCCCAACGCTACGCCTGCCGAGACGTTGCCTTCACATGAGGACCTGCTTACTCCACGACAGATGTGACCGACCAGGCCACTACTGAAGTGGGTCATCATATTTCTGGAAAACTTCATGGTCTACACCGTCGACACTGGCTCAAGGATTACAGGTTGATTGAACATGTCCTTGGTCCCATCCAAGTTCATCCCAAGTCCACTACGCCTCGAAACCATATCTAGACTGGAGAGCACTACAGCACTTCAGTTTTTGAAGAGCGTTGTGACTCCTTTCTTTTAAAAAAAAGCGACAAAATTGCTGCTTCATTAGGTTGTTTATCATTCAAGGTTGTCGTATTGGCTATCACAGAGTTGAATAGCCTTTTCAGCCCTTCAATGACATATTTTACACCAGCTTTGAGATACGCCTCGATTTCGTCTATATCTTATATTTTGTTAGACGGGTGATAATCTACGTCTTAATGCACAAATAAAGTTCTTGTTACCGATTTTTATGATTTAAAATTTCAATAAATCCATGAAAAAACGTATTAAGAGTAGAATATGTGAACTTTTTTCGTGATTTACATGGGAAAATATACTTAAATTGAAATTTCTCGAAAGACCCGAGAAGACCCGAGAAGTGACGCTCGAGAATTCTCGATTCCCGGGAAATGAAAAAGCTCGAGAAGTCAGAAACCCTAGTGACAACGGGGTGCCCGGGACGATATACAACGGAGTGCCTGATTGGTTGTATGAAGGTAAGTTGAGGAAATGTCTAGGAAATGCTCCGCGGCAAGACGGCTTCTGACCAGGGAAGCAGCAGTTGCGCGGTTGGATGAAACTCATGTCCTATGGTAGCGCTTGAGCATAGCATAGCTGTAAAATTGTGACCCTTAAGGGTAAACGGCGTGATTACCGAGGGTCCGCAGCTGCTGCTGACCATGTGGACCCCCAAGGGCCACGGCCTGGTCACCGTGAAAGACAACGACATCTTCTACCGACCAGCGCCCAGGTCCTCAACGGGGTACCGGGTGACAGACAATGGGGTGCCTGGGACGATATATAATGGAGTGCCTGATTGGTTGTATGAAGGTAAGTTGTAAGGAAGTAAAGAAAGGTCTAGAAAATGCACAGCGACGAGACGGCTTCCTACCAGGGAAGCAGCAGTTGCATGCAGTTGGACGAAACTCATGTCCTATGGTAGCGCTTGACGATAGCTATAGTCGAGCTATAGACGTCTCACAGTTGTGGTCCCAAGGGCCACGGGCTGGTCACCGTGAAGGACAACGACATCTTCTACCGACCAGCGCCCAGGTCTTCGACGGGGTGCCGGGTGACAGACAACGGGGTGCCCGGGACGATATACAACGGAGTGCCTGATTGGTTGTATGAAGGTAAGTTTAAGGAAATGTCTAGAAAATGCTCAGCGGCAAGACGGGTTCCTACCAGGAAAGCAGCAGTTACGCGCAGTTGGACGAAACTCATGTCCTATGGTAGCGCTTTAGGATAGCATAGCGAGCTGTACAGTTGTGTTTCCAAGGGCCACGGCCTGGTCACCGTGAAAGACAACGACATCTTCTACCGACCAGCACCCAGGTCCTCGACGGGGTACCGTGTGACAGATAATGGGGTGCCTGGAACGATATACAACGGAGTGCCTGATTGGTTGTATGAAGGTAAGTTGTAAGGAAAGGTCTAGAAAATGCTTAGCGTCAAGACGGCCTACGACCAGGAAAGCAGCAGTTGCGCGCAGTTGGACGAAATTCATGTTCTATGGTAGCGCTTGAGGACAGTATCAGGTGAGTTATAGGCGTCTCACAGTTGTGGTCCTAAGACTCCTAAGGGTAACGGGTTGGTCACCGTGAAGGACAACGACATCTTCTACCGACCAGCGCCCAGGTCTTCGACGGGGTACCGGGTGACAGACAATGGGGTGCCCGGGACGATATATAATGGAGTGCCTGATTGGTTGTTGAAGGTAAGTTACAAGCTCGGGTTACAAGGAAATAAGGGAAAAAATGCTCAACGGCTAGACGGATTCCTACCAGGGAAGCAGCAGTTACGCGCAGTTGGACGAAATTCATGTCTTATAGTAGCTCTTGAGGACAACATAGCGAGCTATACAGTTGTGACCCCCAAGGGTCACAGGCTGGTCATCGTGAAGGACAACGACATCTTCTACCGACCAGCGCCCAGGTGTTTGACGGGGTACCGGGTGACAGGCAATGGGGTGCCCGGGACGATATACAACGGGGTCCCTGATTGGTTGTATGAAGCTAAGTTGAGTGGAATTAAGAAAAAGTCTAGTCTAGAAAATGCTCAGCGGTAAGATGTCTTCCTACCAGGGAAGCAGCAGTTGAGCGCAGTTGGATGAAACTCATGTCCTATGGTAGCGCTTGAGGACAGTATAGTCGAACTATAGGCGTCTCACAGTTGTGGTCCCAAGGGTCACGGGCTGGTCACCGTGAAAGACAGCGACATCTTAACTTTTTGGTTACAAAGTTAATACAAACGAAGCAAGCGGAAAAAAATTCACGCCACCGATGGGATTCGAACCCACGTCTTCTGACAAGCCGGGTCAGACGTGTTAGACCGCTACACCACGGAAGCTCTAGCCCAGGCGGCGAAATTGTAAACCACTTGCTTCGTTCATATATTTTTGTCACTTGACTACTTACGGGTAGCTTAGCGCCATCTATGACATTTTAGTAGAACTATACAGTCACTCAACTGACAACATTACGTATGTACGAGTTGACGAGAGATGGAGCTTTTTCCGATTTGTGAATGTTTACTATTTTGTAGAAATTTTCCACAAGATAGTAATTTTCTTTTCTTTTTTTTTTATGGTGGCGTGAATTTTTCCCGCTTGCTTCGTTTGTATTAACTTTGTAACCAAAAAGTTAATATCAATATCTAGTGTTTGATTAAAACACCAAGTGTTCAAAAAAATTACTATCTTGTGGAAAATTTCTACAAAATAGTAAACATTCACAAATCGGAAAAAGCTCCATCTCTCGTCAACTCGTACATACGTAATGTTGTCAGTTGAGTGACTGTTTAGTTCTACTAAAATATCATAGATGGCGCTAAGCTACCCGTAAGTAGTCAAGTGACAAAAATATACGAACGAAGCAAGTGGTTTACAATTTCGCCGCCTGGGCTAGAGCTTCCGTGGTGTAGCGGTCAACACGTCTGACCCGGCTTGTCGGAAGACGGTAGTTCGAATCCCATCGGTGGCGTGAATTTTTTCCGCTTGCTTCGTTTGTATTAACTTTGTAACCAAAAAGTTAATATCAATATCTAGTGTTTGATTAAAACACCAAGTGTTCAAAAAAGAAAAAAAAAATTACTATCTTGTGGAAATTTTTTACAAAATAGTAAACATTCACAAATCGGAAAAAGCTCCATCTCTCGTCAACTCGTACATACGTAATCTTGTCAGTTGAGTGACTGTATAGTTCTACTAAAATGTCATAGATGGCGCTAAGCTACCCGTAAGTAGTCAAGTGACAAAAATATATGAACGAAGCAAGTGGTTAACAATTTCGCCGCCTGGGCTAGAGCTTCCGTGGTGTAGCGGTCTAACACGTCTGACCCGGCTTGTCAGAAGACGTGGGTTCGAATCCCATCGGTGGCGTGAATTTTTTCCGCTTGCTTCGTTTGTATTAACTTTGTAACCAAAAAGTTAATATCAATATCTAGTGTTTGATTAAAACACCAAGTGTTCAAAAAAAAAACAAAAAAAAAATTACTATCTTGTGGAAAATTTCTACAAAATAGTAAACATTCACAAATCGGAAAAAGCTCCCATCTCTCGTCAACTCGTACATACGTAATGTTGTCAGTTGAGTGACTGTATAGTTCTACTAAAATGTCATAGATGGCGCTAAGCTACCCGTAAGTAGTCAAGTGACAAAAATATATGAACGAAGCAAGTGGTTTACAATTTCGCCGCCTGGGCTAGAGCTTCCGTGGTGTAGCGGTCTAATACGTCTGACCCGGCTTGTCAGACTGTCTAGACGTGGGTTCGAATCCCATCGGTGGCGTGAATTTTTTCCGCTTGCTTCGTTTGTATTAACTTTGTAACCAAAAAGTTAATATCAATATCTAGTGTTTGATTAAAACACCAAGTGTTCAAAAAAAAAAATTACTATCTTGTGGAAAATTTTTACAAAATAGTAAACATTCACAGCGACATCTTCTACCGGCCAGCGCCCAGGTCCTCAACGGGGTACCGGGTAACAGACATCGGGGTGCCTGGGAAGATATATAATGGAATGCCTGATTGGTTGTATGAGGATGAGTGTTAACTAAAAAGGAAAGGCTAGAATCTTCGAAAATGCTCAGAGGTGACATGGATTTCTACCAGGGTAGCAGCAGTTGCACGCAGTTGAATCCTAGGGTAATGCTTGAGGACAGCATTATTCGAGCTACAGTTGTCTTAAAGTTGTGGTCCCAAGGGCCACGGGTTGGTCACCTTGAAAGACAACGACATCTTCTACCGACCAGCGCCCAGGTCTTCGACGGGGTACCGGGTAACAGACATCGGGGTGCCTGGGACGATATATAATGGAGTGCCTGATTGGTTGTATGAAGGTAAGTTGTAAGGAAAGGTCTAGAAAATGCTCAGCGGCAAGACGGCTTCCTACCAGGGATGCAGCAGTTGCATGCAGTTGGAGAAAACTCATAGCGCTGGGAAAAGCATAGCGAGTTGTACAATTGTGAAGCCCAAGGGCCACGGTCTGGTCACCGTGAAGGACAACGACATCTTCTACCGACCAGCGCCCAGGTCTTCGACGGGGTACCAGGTGACAGACAACGGGGTGCCCGGGACGATATACAATGGAGTGCCTGATTGGTTGTATGAAGGTAAGTTAAAAATAATGGTCTAAAAATGCTCAGCGACAAGACGGATTCGTACCAGGGAAGCAGCAGTTGCACGCAGTTGGACGAAACTCATGTCCTATGGTAGCGCTTGAGGATAGCCAAGCGAGCTGTACAGTTGTGACCCCCAAGGGCCACGGGTTGGTCACCGTGAAGGACAATGACATCTTCTACCGACCAGCGCCCAGGTCTTCGGCGGGGTACCGGGTGAGCCCGGGACCATATACAACGGAGTGCCTGATTGGTTGTATGAAGGTAATTTATAAGGAAGGAAGGGAAAGGCTAGAAAATGTACAGCGACCAGACGGCTTCCTACCACCTTCTTTCTTTAACCTGAATGTTTACCAACTACTTATTGTTCTGTAAGACTGTTACCTAAAAGCCCAAACTAATCTTTTTAGAAAGCTTCAACGGTGACAGAATTTTCCATTACACAAAAGGAGCTTAACTTTAAGAAATTGTTCCCTTCTACCTATATAATAGTACAACGTACAGCTTTGTTGAACCGCTGACATTTCACATGTTCAAACAAAACAGCGCTCGTCCCATCTCGTTTACCGCATCCAGACGTTTACTCCATTCAGCCCGTAGTAGCTAAAAATAACGGGACAGTTTTCAGCAGTACAGCTGAACTTGACAAGGCGATTTAATTTTCCAACCGAGAGAAGTTTATAAGTACTGTAATATGCTTATGAAAGCAGCTATTCGTGATTGAAACAACTTTTTGTCAAACATAATTACTTGGGACTGTGTGTCAGCGGCTAAGAATGGTCTGGAATCAGTTCGCCGACTTGCTCGTTTCGCTAACCGGCGCGATTCGCCAACTCGCTTTCTGCCGACTGGCGTGCTAGGCCTACTTACGCCATTCGCCGACTCGCGGTTAGCAAACTGTCATGATGTACAGTGAACATAATAATAGTTTATGGATCTGTATTATTGTACAAAAGAAAATTTAATACGAGAACGTAATATACTATGATATGAAATTTTGAATACCTACTAGGGATAAACTTATCAAAAGAACAACTGAACAACCTTTTAAATGACTTGTTACATAGGTATTAAAAAATTTAAAGCGTAAGCTCCACAGAGAAGACGTGCTTCGTAACGCGTGGGATGGCATCTGTCAGAAAAGTGACCGTCAACCGTCTTCGATGCGACGCGCGTCTCAAATATGTAGCTTTGTCTCTACGCCATAAGCTCCACAGAATAGACGCGTGATGCAACGCGCAACATGACATCTGTCAGACAAGCGATCATCGGAGACGTCATCGTTACACATGCATACGCATAGCCATAGACTTACAATCTCATTTGTGATGTTAGCGCTTAAATGTTCCTTATAAAACTGAACAACTTTCAAGTTTAAACACCTTTCAAAACTGAATAACTTTTAAAACTGAACAACTTTTTAGAACTGTTTAAATTTAAAAACTGAACCACCTTTTGTTTACAGATGCAAACAAAAAAAAATTACCTCCCATGCTAAAATTCGATAATCCCAAAATAAGCATAATGTTTAAAAAATGTGTAATTGACTGTACACTGTAACTATAGTTTACCAATAGCTCAGTCGGCGAATGGCGTAAGTAGGCCTAGCACGCCAGTCGGCAGAAAGCGAGTTGGCGAATCGCGCCGGTTTGCAAAACGAGCAAGTTGGCTTACCGCGCGTACTCCCTAAGAATACTGTCACTCCTAGTCCACTCAGGATCTACTCCGGAAAAAGCGACCGACGTAGAGTTTTTACCTCGGCCCGTCACCCTCATGGTGGCGGTGCGGTAATACCACCTACAACCACAAAATCAGTTGAGGTTGGCGTAACATGTTTTGTTAGTACACAAAATCATGTAGCAAAATAATTCGGCTATGTCACAGAATAAATAAATGACCGGCCGCCTGCCTAACGTCCACCCTCTTTGGGAATACTATTGTAGGTGGTATCACCACAACCATGCGATTATCCGTCGACAGATATTCAGCCGAGGTCAAAAACTCTACATCGTCTCTTACAAAAAACCCTGATTGAACTAGGGGAGGCAGTATTTTTTGCCGCTAACACACAGCAACCTTAGCTTCATCTCATCACACATACCTACTAAAACGAGTACGCTGCACCACATAGAGCAACCCCTTTTCATGTGTATAGAATCGCGTATAGAATAGCTGGTGACGTGACTTGTTAGCTAAGTGAACTAGAGAATTCCAAGATGTACCTACCTAGTGCTTGTTGAATGGAAATATTCAGCAGAGAAAACCGACTATTTGTTTAGTAGCATTTTTTATTCCTGCTGTGCGAATTCAGTTTTCGTTTTATGGCGATAAAATTACACTCGTTGAAGTTAATACATGAAATAAGTAGGAATGTAGATAGATTATATCCGTTACATAAAGCAGAGACGGTAATTTAATAAATAGAAACAAGTTCAAAACTGTGTAGAACAAACTTGTAGCTAGATGCTACACAGTTTTCGTAGCAAGTTGTAGCTAGTAGGAGTAGTACACTTGCTACGAATACAATGTATTGCTAGCTACAATTATAATACATGAAACGTGGTTCATATGCCATTTCTAGACACAATGATACGGCACCCTTCGTGCGCGATTCCGACTCGCACTTTGCCAACTTTCCTAGGTACGACGTGACCGCTAGATATGTCAAAGCGAATTCTTGTAAAGCGGGGGAATTGAAATATCTTGCACGACAAATTACCTTCAGGTATACGAATTGCAACACAAAACAAATTGGATTCTGGTTAGCCTTTTCACAAATTTGAAAAGCGTCGTCGCTTCGCAAACGCCTTTGAGTCGAATACTAAGCGTGCTTCTGGAACAGTTTATTGCAAGAAATTGCATGTTTTTCCTTTGCGAAAGCATTTTTGGTCCTTATAAATTGAGGCTAAGGACTTCGAAATCCTTGCGAGTTAGGCTGTGAATTATTTGATAGCATGAAGGTAACTTAGAAATCCAAGATGTTAATTGAAAGATGATCATACACATGCCATGCCATGCATCTATATTCGAATTAAAGATTAGCATATAAAAACTCATGCGGTCTTAAACCGCCTTTTTCAGTTCGTTGTAACGGAGTCCGCTTCAGTCATTGAAGTCATAGTCTATCCATTTCCTCCTGGGTCAGCCTGGTGATCTTTTTGTAATAGATTTAAAAGAAAACTTCTTTGAAGTCATAAACCTGCCAGATTTAGACTTGGTTTTATTGTTTAGAATTCAGCCAAAGCCATACCCAGAAGAAATAGCTGCTATCATAAGCAGGCAGCTGCAAGTACAACAGCCAGGCTTTATCTTAACGACCTCCTTCTTGGACCATTTGCCCAGGCTCGGGAACGCTGCCAGAATTTAACGTTTTTCTGCTCTGCTTCAGACAATATTTTATTGTTTGGAGCTGGATTTTATGTGAATACTTTGCTGTTTTGTCGTGTAAAAAATTTAGAGCAAGATGTTTTTTGTGTTCCAGTACGAATTTATTTTAATTTTTCAGAAGTGAAAATTCACAATAGGCTGAACTTTTCTTCCAAACGAACCATACCGAGGCATTTTTTCTTATGGACTGGCTCTACAGTTTTAGCCCCGAGTCTTGTAGATAGAATTGATCGTTGTTTCAAATCAGGCTCAAAGAACCAGGAATATTGTGGATGGGAGGAATTGAAGACACTAGTTCGATGGTATATTTATTGACGTCACCACGTATACTTTGTATAGATGTGGCTAGATCGTAGCTTGGAGACGAACATCAAGAGATAGAAATTTGACAGGCATCGATCGGTGCATCAATAGCTCAGTGGCAGAGAGGTGGGGCGTTGACTCATGCGGCCCGATTTTAAGCCCCGGTCGATGCATGACATTTTTTCAATTCCTTATTTTCATTTATGAGAATAATATAGCACTGTGAGTGCATTAAAATCCCAATAGACTACTTCTGACTATTTGGTGGGTACCGAGGTCCCACCCGACACTGGGATTCCTACGTCATTCCGAAACCCTGTTAATCGAGTGAGTAGTGCTCAAATAGCTGATACTATCAGCCTGATAGCGTTGCGTAGGCGACTGCTAGACTTATAAGCGCTGATAAAAGGGACTATGCCTCGAACGCGCTTGTCTGAATGAGTTGCTTTGTTAATTACCTATTTTAAAAGTAAATGTCAGT